ACATAACTGTTTATTACTATAAAAAGTAGTCCCTTAACGATTATACATTAACCTGTATTAAATTATAGTTACCCTGCATAATACCCATACGAACGACGACCTTAACAATAAATCAGCTTTATTATTATATTAATTCCATATTTCCACACTCTCTTAACGCTATGCACAACTATTTAGATAATCAACCAATATGATAATAAAGTGTAAAATGGGTATGTAATATTTTACATCCAATCAAATTATTATAGGGCTTGTTGAGCTCAGCTGAGACTGCTTACAGAACCTGAACCTGGCCCGATATTTTAGTGGGCCTAACCCAAGCCCGGCCCAAATAATAATAGGCTTAAAAATATAAACGTAAACTCAGCCCAAACCCGGCCTGGCTTACAAATTTCCGGGTAGAGATTAGGCCTGGTATAAAATTTAGCCCTTGGTTACCTGGCCGCTTATTAAACCCTTACCAGGGGACCCGTAAAATTTTAGTTTTAAAAATTCATTGATAGCAATAAAAAATTTAGACAAATTTTAGCTCAAATTTAATAAATTTTGATAAATTTTGATAAATTTTAATAAATTTTAGATATATTTTGATTAAATTTAAAAAAGTTTATAATTTATTCTATAATTTTGTTAAAATAATAATTCGGTATTTAAATTTTGCCGATTGTCATTAAATATAAAATTAGGAACTAAGTCACATAAATTTATATCTCTAGATCACGGCATCAATATCCAATACAAACTAATCATATACTGTATGCCTTAGAAGTTAAATAAGTTAAGTTTGTATAAAATTTTTATTAAAAATAAAATACGTATCACTAGGGATAAGCAAATCAAATATTTTTTGAATCTACTGCGGCCCACATTATAGTTTACTGCTAATGCAGGCCAGAGTTGCGAAATTCAGAAATATTCCGAAATTCCGAAATGTTCAACCTGCGCAGCATCCTATTCCTATGTATCACAAACTATAATATAAGAAGGAAGTTTTTAGAAAATTTTAGTTAAAATTGATAATTTTAGATATAAATTCCTTAGAATTTAAAAATTTTAGAAAATTTGAGTTTATACTTAAAATTTTAGATTTTTTGTGAAAATTTTAGATCTAAAATTTTACGGGTCCCTGGTGTTAGGTTATAATTTTGACTATAATAATAAGTTTACCGGGTATTATCGGGCTTTCTTATAAAGCCTGAGCCCGGCCCGATATTTAACAAGCCCGATTTGTGTTTGGCCCGAACAATAGCGGGCTCGGAAATTATAGGCCCGAACTGGGTCAAAGCCCGGCCCGGCCCGTCCTGCACCCTAGTAGAGAGTGTTGTTGACATCATTAAGGCTAATCTTCAATTACTGACAAAAGGCCAATTTTATCCTTCACTTCAGCAACATAACAACAATTTTTTCACAAGTATGAGAAAATATGTAATGGTATAACCAACTCACAGATTTGAAAAACCTCGGCAGGTTATCAAATATTGAGTATTTATTTAATTGCTAATTCTTAGTTTTCAGATATAATAGATTTTGTAATTTATTTTTGTTTACCATTAAATTTAATAGCCACAATACACATATTGTGAGATTTAAGGCTTAGTTTAATTATTTTATGTTAATCAAGAACAATTCAAAAAAAAAAAAGCTTCTTATCCAAACTATAGCCAGACCTTGACCCGTTTTTGTTACCTGTATATAGAGCTGGGATCCGTTGAATATCCATTATGACTATTCAATGAATATTCACAGGTTTTTACCATCCATGAATGAAATTGAATGAATATTCAAATTTATATGGATGTTCACGTAATAGTAAAAACTTAAATATTCATCTCGAATATTCACGAATTCTGTGTAAAAAACTACTAATACTCTAATCCTTAACTATTCGTGAATTTCACGTAACCAAATATCCACTTTTAATTGAATATTCTTTTTTAAACGTGATATTCACGGATCCCTGTATGCAGTATTTTGTACAATATATTGGGTATTACGAGTCAGCTGCCGCTGCATGTAGTGATACACTCACTGTTGTCCGGTGTTGGCAAAATGACTTATAATCACATGATGATTTTACGTGAAGTTAATTACATACGTACGTGATTCTGCACAAGTGTAGGTTATTTCAAAAAAAGCGAAATGACCTTGAAATTTACCAACACTGCTGTTTGTCAGATAATCAAGATCTCCAATCGTTCTAGCGTTATAGAAAATTAGATCAATTTTATATACTCGTATGTATAACTATGGTGTCGATCAACAGCTCGAACTTAAGGGAGGCCTCTCAGGAGAACTTGGGTATATTACCAGTTTTTATTACCTGTATATTAAAAATTTTTTTTTTGAATATATATACCGTAAAGTCCCGAATATAAGTAACCCTCTAAGCCACCCATTTTGGCTGATTTTTTTAAAAGGGTTGCTTAATTTCAGTAACTTTTAAAATACTTAATTCTATTAGCCAATTTTAATAAAAATTACTCGTAATTTTATTTTGCTTGTAGGGTTGCTTATTTTACTTTTTTTCATATTTTAGTATTAAAATCTAAGAGGTTGCTTATTTTCGGGGTTGATTATATTCGGGACTTTACGGTATATATATTTAAAACTCTTTCGATTTTGTATATTGCAATGTTAGCATTAAATGATATTTATTTTATCATAAATAACGATGTAATTTAAAACAATATATAGTATTATATATATGTATGCCCTCTACATAAGATCCCATAGTATACCTGGGAGTATAGCTTGTAAGAGACCCGGTATCCTTCATTGCGAAATAACGGTATTATTTATTTGTTTTATATATTAAACGCCAAATTTTTGATTATATATAAACTTTAAGCTCTAATAACTTTTTGAATTTATAATAAAAATAAAAATCTATTTTAACAGAGTTGTAGCTTAGACTAAAAAACAACAAATCTGTAAGACAAATTTTTTTAAAATTTATTTGTTTGTAAGTTGTAAGCATTTTTATATTTTATATATAAAAATTGGACGTTTTTTGCTGTCCCGTACTGTATATGTTTATTTCTTAAATTGTTTAATTAAAAAAAAACATGGGCTTAGTTAGATTTAAAACTAAAAACTTGGTCGGGTAAGGTTCATAAGTAGGGTTGCAAGTGGATCTATGGTACAGCCACGCACACCAAGGTGGCGTAGTTCAAAAGCGAGAATTATGTGTAATATAGGGCAGAATCTCCACTTTCTGTAATTCTAATTCACTCTCAATAAACAAAGTCACCCGTTTTGCATTGTGTTAATTTTTCTGCAGTTGATTACAGTGAAACCTCTATAAATGCACCCTCTATAAATGCACACCCTCTCTAAATGCACGCTCAATCTCTGGCCCGAATATATGCATGACCTCTATAAATGCACTTTTTCTTATTGTTCTCTAAATGCGTGTTGCTAAAGTTCAGTCCCAAGTGCGTGCATTTATGGAGGTTTCACTGTATTTAGAAAATATGTCACTGTATTATTATTTAACTTGAACTTTCAACCTATATACTTATTCTAATATCCATTATTTGCCCTTACGTTATTATCTTTATACATCACTCGATTCCCGTATAACTTGTATACTATGGGAGCTAAATTTGCCGTTGTGACTATATTTGACTATTCTTCGGACCCTATAATTGCAACAAGTCAAGTCAACGCGGTCTGGCTTTTTGGATATAGTCCAATTTTCTCATGATTAATCTCAATTTTGTACAATTGAACTTAGAATATATTTACAACCCATATCAGTAAATTTTTTCTAAAAACTTTTTCAAAAGAAATCTCTTGCACGATAGATATAACTATATCTCATTAGCTGTTAAGGAGCTAAACTTCTTAAGCTGATTTATGTACAATAAAAAGTTAGTTTGGAAAAAATCAATAGAAATTCTGTGAGATTGTATAAAAGACTACATATGCGAAATTTTAAATATGAAAAAATCATTTAGTACGTAATTTAGTGATCTAGGATCGAGAAAATAAAATTCTCTAAGCACATAACGAGTTTATCAATTCATTTATATCCTGCAAACAAGTATGAAGTGATTTAATTTAATTTATTATATGGAGTTACAATTCTGAGTTTTTTATTGTTCAATCAAGATAGTAAAAACGAAACAATTAGGTGCAAACCGATAAGTCGAATATTCCAAAAAATATTAGTAACAATTCAATTTTATCAAATATCGAATTTTTAATCCTTGTTTTGCATATTAATACTTCGTCTTATCGAGCTTGCTTCGTATTAATGATTGAATTAGAACTTAATGATTTCGTGAAAAGTTCCGCACATTAAAATATATGCCAATCATAGAGTTATTTATTTCACGTAATCGACCAATCACAAGTAGATTATGAAAGGCTCGGTTGACCTGGTCCATTCAGAAAACTAACGCATAATTGCCCTTTTTGAACTAAGGGCAAAGTTTATAAACCTAGTTTTTAGTTTTTAAGGCTGATTAATTTGGGGTTCTCGGCCTTATTCGCAAAGCACGACTGGTATTTAATGGTAAAAAAAAAAATCCATCTAATCTGAATTTTATTGACCTGAGTTATTATTAGTCACGGCCGATGTTGATTTTGGGGTTTATTTTAATATGCAGTCTTTGAAATTTTTTGGGATGCGTTTTTTTCAGTTTTTCAGTCATATATTAGATTTTTAGGGTTAGGAATGTTAATAAAAGAGTATAGATCTATTTAGCAGGGTTTATATTTCCAATCCAGATCCTAAGAATCTGTATTAGCCAAAATCAATATCAGTCGTGACATTATTTATAGGTCTGAGCGATAATTTTAACGAAAAACAAAAACAGAAAGCTTTTTTGAAATAGTCATTATAAATATTTGGTGAAGATGACGAGGTTTTTGAGAATAAGAAAAGCGGCTTGAAATTTTTTAAGCCACATACTGTATAAATACATCAACAACTCCATTTATTTTTACAAAATTTAATTTTTATTAACCATTGAACAACAAGAAAATATTCCGCAATGTCAAAGGAAACTGTTGTTGACGTTGAAGAAGAATCAGAAATAAAAGATAAATATTTGGTTTTTAGTCCAGACGGTGATTTCGTAGTCAAATTTGGTAAAAATTTTACTAAACAATTACCGGCAGTGCATACATTAATTTATAATTTAAATTCAATAAATTTATAATGTTTACAGTACTATTGAATAACGAATCATGTATAATATCGAGAAAGATGAAGATAACTACTTTGATATACAATATAGCAATAGTTTGTCGTACTATAAACATTCCTATATTCACACATCTCAAACATTAGAATTTACAAAAGAACAATTAAAGTTGGTTAAATCTAGACACAGATTGAGCTGGTCCGTTGCTGTATCAGATAAATCATCCAGTGTAACAAACTTTAGACTACTGGTATAAGCCATCATGATATGACACTTGAAAATATTGAAGAATCTACCTATAAAGACTTATACAATGGAGACCCTAGCTATTATCTTAGCATAAATATTCCTGGATTTACCATCGTTTTCGCTATCAAAGAACGTTCAGTTGATACAATATTACAATTTGATAACTATCGATATGGTGGAATAGTTAACTTATTTTTCAATTATGATAATACCAGTAGTGCGGATAAATGTCTTCTTATTATTTTAAATATCACTGGAATCTATAAATTTTATTTTGAACACTTGAATAAGAATAAACCTACTATCAAAATTCAAATGTTAAAATATCCGAATAGAACAATTAAAGTCATGGAATATTATAATACTCATTATTATAATCTGAAAAGTTTAAAACTTTCAGAACACGATAAATACGAAAAAATCAGAGAGTTAAATATGGAATATATTCAGGCATCTTTAAGTAAGCATTATTTTTTAGCCGATACTATGCTAGAGGGCGCTCAATACATGGATCTTTACGATTTAAAAACAAATCAATTAGTAAATACCTTTTCGAGAACGAATGTATGCGGTTCGGGTCTCACCTACCGTCCTGGTTTTTTTACAATATCAAATAATGATAAACTGTTAGCATATAAATTTAAATCTGGAAGGCGGATCAAGTTATACTCGCTTGATTGTGGTCTTGAAGTAGCGTCTATAAAAATAGATGAAACTGATGAAATATCTTATGATTATTATTTCTTAAATTTTTTTAGCAATGATGAGAGATTATTGGTATATCGGTTCAATACAATGGAATGGTCTATTTGGGATATTTTTGGTTCATTACAAAAATCAATTAAACTCGAAAAACGACCTGATTTTGACCTTAACCTTCAAGTTGAAGATGCTCATACTGAGAAATTGAAACACTCAAATTCTTTTATAATCACTATTAAAAACAATGAACTTGTAATTTATGATGATCTACTCTCGGATAAATTTTTGAAACTCTTGAAGAATGTTGACAAATTAGGTTTTAAGGATCTACCACTGGAAGAAACCTGGAAGAAATCAGATGACAAATACGAATATTTTATCCGGGATCTTGATAATAACAAATCAGAATTAAACAAAAACTATCACGTAATTGAGCCATGGCGAGGGCGAACTGGACATAGTGGAGGTCCACGATATTCAGTTTATCTTGATGAAAAAAAAGAAGTTATGCTTCTGATTGGAAGATGTACGATTCAAGTTTGGCGCGATAAAGATGAAAAGAGAACTCTTGAGTTCATTAGTGTGAGTAATGATGAGATTACTGAGAGTGAGGTCAAAGAAATTAAATATGGCATTAGAAAATTTAAACTTTCAATTCAACGTAAAGATTCTGATAAATCAATTTATCAAATTGAAATGGGAGATAATGAGGATGATGATATAATCAAAGCAGTAAGCGCAGCTTGTAATGCGCTTATATATTTAAATAAATGGAGTCAAACGCCTAATTATGGATATGCCGTGTCATTTGTCCAACTCGAAGAGATAGTCAGACAAACACGAAATATTATTGTGAGATTTCAATCATATCCGATTGTTTGGCGACTATTAGATTTTCGCTTTAATTTAATGACCACTCTTGTTATTGCGGGAGATTATTCACTAGTTAAATATATATTATTCGACGAAAAAAAAGAAGGTTCGGACGATGAACCTGAAAATAACATCCTTAAAAATCTTAATATTACAGCATCTAAAATGCAAATCAAAGAACCATCTTCTGATCGGAATAGTTTATTACATGAGAAATCACTCCACATGCCAAAATTAACTTCGTGGACAGGTGAACTTGAATATGCACTCTTAGAAGCACTAAAAGGTTTGTTTTATAAATTGAATCAATCAATTGTAAATACTTTTTTTTGTTTGTTAGATGTTAATATCATTCTTCTCATTAGTCGATGATCCAGTATTTCTAGGATTTCTTTTAGAATATTATTCTAATAAAGAAATTGGATGGATGGTTACCGTTACTGATGTTATACCGAGATTATATAGTGAGGAGAATAAAAAAAATGCTGGTCAGTTGTAAAATTTATCTTATATTATTTAATCTAAAAATTAATGATCTGAAACCTTTATCTTTTTGATGCAGAGGTTTATAAGTCATACGCTCAATTGTTATTTTATAAATCTTGCTTTTGTAAAAAAGAATTGGATATACCTTCGTTTGAATTTATTGAAATTCCACCTAGTATGGATAATTCTTTAAAAGTCTTTATCCCTATAACACAATTGATTCCACAAGACTTAGATTTAAAAGTAAAATTGCTCAGGTAAAGGACATGAAATATTATAATTTGGTTTTATTTATTTATTGTTAATTTATTTTAATTTTAAATATAGCCAATATATGATTCCTAAAGTTCTGATGGTACCTTTAGTTGATTTCACAGCAGTTAAAGTAAATAAGAAAGACATGAAAGAATATAAATTCATAAACTTTTTAAAAACCATATTTTATCCGGGTGAATATGCACAAAAAGAAGATTACTATAGCCCTTTTCTTAAGCTTATAGAAAAACTTGAAAGTAATGATCCTTTCTTCTGTAACCCATCCATGGAAGCCACTATGAATGTGATGTGGTATTTGTGCAAATCTTATCTTCTCAAAACCTTATATATTTTTTTGGTGTATTTTTTGACTTATTCGATTATATCTTGGATGTATATCGCACACTTTGAAGTTAATGGCAAATTTCAACGTGTTTTAGTGACTGTAGTCATCATTTTATTTTTTTATTTAACTTATTATCAAATTGTGATTGAATTTAACCAATTACTTTATAAAGGATGGAATTATTTTACTGATCCTTTTAATTATGTAGATCTTTTTACACTTATTTTGCCTCTTACTATTTCTATTTATATTTTGACTAATAATTATTATACGTTTGAGAATGGGTTTAAAAATGCCGAAACCAGCCTGCTTGGGTCATTTATTGTTTTCATAAGTATTTTAGGTAATTGGTATCAACTTGTAAGTATATCTTTTATTTCTGTTACATTTTATAAAAAATCTTTTTTGTAATTTATGCATACGAAATTTTTTTCATTATTATTATCTTTCTTTTTTTTGCTCAATATTATTTAGATTTTACAATTACGTATTTTTCCAGGTACCGTACAGTATATCCTAATCATATTTGTATAAGTTTATCAAGCTTATATAACATGTAGCTTTACATATTACTTAGGTTTTGCACATTACCTAAACATACTTTACAATATTATGGTTTATCTAAAATTATTTTTACTATTTTTTGCTTTAACCATAATTGCAACGGTAATTTTGAATTTATTTAATTGTTATTATTCATCGTATTATGAATTATACTTATTTAGTATTCTTAATTTGTTACTATATAACACCTCAGGGACATGCATTGTAAGTTTATGACTTGCATAAATACATTATTAAAAAAATCTCAAATTTCAAATTTGTGTTAACCTATGTATAAATATATACAGATTTATTTTCCTTGGTTATGCATCATATATTGGATTAAGTCAATCTTCTACAACATATGAATTTTCTAATGGAAGTGATACCTATACTATGACTGAAGATGAACCGGATAATTCATTTTCAAACCTTTTTAGCTCTATAGTTGCAGCATATAATTGGGATTCAATTCCACTAGATGCTTGGGATTTTTGGCCTCTTATTATAATTAGTGTGATTGGCAGTTTTGTTTTTGTAATTATTTTACAAAATCTGATTGTCTCATTTATGAGATATGTATAAATGCTATATTACAGTATTTTGATGTATTATTTTGTTATTTATGATCAATATTGATAATAACCTCCAAATGATCAAACTCATTAAAAAGTGCGGCTTTTGATGATGCTGAACAAGATGGAAACGTGCAGTACTCAACTATCAAAGAGAATTTATTTCTTATTATGCGCTTCTTGAAAATTCTGTTTTCACTTCAGGACGTAGTCCGCATGTTCATGAGAGGCCTCCACGGCAAGACAGCTGCTCTTATGCCTGCTGACGAGCTTGAGACCTTAGATGAAGCAATTGCAAAGGCCAAAAAGATCGAAGCCGGCAACTATTATAAGGACAAAAGTAGTAAAGAACTCACCCATAAGCTCATCGATGACTTAACAAAGAAAATACAGCAAATGGTCACCAATTATAAACAACTAACAACTACCTTGGTGGCCAGAGCTGAGGTTAGGCCTCACCAGTTCCAACTCCAACGCTACCAACCCCGGCCCCCAGGAATGAAAGCATAGAATGTTACAATTGTGGAGAAAGGGGCCATATAGCCCGAAATTGTATTTTCGAACCACGTTCAAGTTCCCGGCAATCTCGTGTAAACTTTTAAAGACCTCCAGTACGTGCTAGGAATGTCAATCTATGTGACATTTATGATCTTAGCCCCGAAGAAGAATCATACGCCATCAAACAGCGCGAAAGACCAGATAACGAAGCCCAATGGGATGAGCGGCTTAGACTCAGCCAATAACTTGTTTATCCACTTAAAAGGTCACAATTCCAAAGACTTCATTGTCGAACTCTAATTATCTAGTATATTATCCATTATATATAATATATTGTAATGTTTAATCAAGGAGTACTAACATTTTTAACTTATATTCTCAAATTTTAAACGAATTTATCTTGAAAATTCTGCTCATTATAGATATCCGAAGTATTTTCAAACTCTACATAGCTATTAGAATTTAAAAAATTTAAAAATGATTTAGACATTGAAATCGACCGGGCCATTGTTGAGAAATCTTCAATCAAATATTTTAAAAAACATTCAATACTAGAATTTTACACACAATACAATTACGTAGTATAATTTTAGCCGATCACAGGCTTGCATTTAATAGATTTCTGATTCCGTAATGAATGAAATTTGCTGATCACAGTAATTTGAAAAGCACGATAATAATCAGTGTGATAATCACGATAAAATTTTAAGTGAGAATTCGAATTTTATATTTTCTTGTATAAATTGCCTTCGGCTTGAAATGCTTACTAGTTTATACTTTTAAGTTTATTGGATAGATCGAAGTCCGAAGAATCTTTATTGAGGCAAAAAGCAAGTACCGGTAAGCCCTTAAATAAATTTTGAGACAACATAAAATAATTACACTACTCAATTGTAGGGTCAACTTCTTTCCATCATCCGTTCATCATTACAATTACATCCTCCTTCAAACCATTAAACACCTTTGCATTTTTACCCTAATGGAGACCTCCGTCTAAAACGTCTAGGCGCAATGCTTTTCAGCTTCCACAAGAAATTCTTGAACACGCTAGCTGATTTTTGAAAATATTTGAACGCCTCATGTTAATATAACATGGGCAATATAGACGATCTAATATCCTTTAGAAGGCACACCAACTGGACTTAGAGGCGTATTTAAATGGGATGTGGATCTAGATACCTCCCAGCTGGTGGTACGATCGGTATCCAGTACAGGGAATTATTATGCCTATATGTGACCACGGTTCATCAAAGATGATGAATATATATACGTAACAATAAGATAAACGTATAGAAGTTATAAAATAGGAGATGGATAATCGATAAGTGATACAAGATAAGAATAGAAAAGTAAAACAAACAGAAAATAACGATAAGGAATAGATAGACAATTAATAAGAATAAAAATAGAAATAGAGTTACACGGTTAAATGGTTTGGGCGCGGATAAGTCAAGTGATGATTGTGCAAGGGTTATGAGGGAAAATTTATAAAAAAACTAAATTTTCAGGGTAGCATCGCCTATAGACCATGCATATTTCATGCGTAGGCTACGCGGCTACGTAACTTATGTAAAAATTTAAAATTCCATGATTTGTCTAATTCTGATTATTAGCTGTTAGTACACACTCTAAGCACGCATAGTATACTAATTCAACGAGAATGCATGTGTATGGTCCCAAGGACGTTACGCTTACGGAAGTGTTACTGTATCTATGTACAACTATTCATTTCTATTTATCGTTTTATATCCTCTCTGAATGTACTTATGAAGGTGTTACTATAATTGTGTAATAAGTGCTTTTATTAAAAATTTCTACAATAAGACTACCATTAATGCATTTTGATATTCTTTTATCTCTCTGATCGATATGAAAATTCAATCGCATTATTTGAGATTCATGGTCATTACCATTTTCCTATTGACTTTTTTACCAACAGGATTTACGCAAACAGTAGTATATTCGTACTTTACCTACCAAGAATCATCAATTCAGTCTAATCTTACCTCACATTTTAGAAATTAAACATTATAGTGATAATTCGGAAACAGCAATTGTTCGCGTCGCTCGGGTGAATTACTTCAATTACTTCACCTATAATTATTGTTATGAGCAGAGGTTATTACTCCGTGTTATTCAAGCAAATGAAAGTGTTATCGAAATAAATTATGTTAATGCTACTGAAATACAAGATATCAATTATTGTATGGTTGAGAGTGGTTTAAAAGATCCCATAAACTTTTATCCGTTATTTGACCAATACATTTTAGTAACATATACTCATGCAACTAATACTTCCGACAATACAACTTATACGGATCATGGGATGGTTTTAGATTGGAATGGAAATGTTATAAGGTTTGTTAATAAAAAATTTTTTTTTAATAATAATTGATTATGCAATTAATTATATATTATCTTAGCAAACTCGATTTTGGACAATCTTACTTGTATCAAGGCACAATTTGGATTCCGAATAAATTTTTAGTTAATAATATTACTCCCAAAAAAGGTTTCTTACGTTTATCTGAGACAACTGTTAATGGAGTAGATTCTTTCAAATGGGCCCAGTATGGATAGTACGTTGAGTTTTATGTATTTGTTAATTATGTAAATATGTAACTTATATCAAATCATTTATTTTATTTTCTTTTAGCAATGGCAATGGATCATTCTCTTTATTACAGAATGACACAACTGAGAGTATCGGATTTCAAGTTAATTTATTTGCTACTTTAGATGGTGGATACGCAATTGTATATGTTAATATGATCAATAGGCCTATAGCTTCTAATACTACGTTAGTCCCTCAATTTACTGCAGATGTAGGAATATGTGCTATAATGTTGGGTTATAATCAATCAGAAACACCTCAACAAATTATTTTATTTAATAAATTAACTCCAAATCTAACATTCACTAGCATATACTGTTCTATCGATTTCGCTAACATTGGTCATTCATGTATCGTACAAGTAGCACAGACGCAAACTCAAACAATTCAGAATATTATTACAACTGTTATCACAGCTACAATGACTCCTACGGCAGCCGCCCCCACAGTCGTATCGGTTACCACTACTATATCAGCTCCACCTACTGCTATTACATCCTCAGAAAGCTTTTACGTGAAAATACGTTTTCTATCCACTGGATCTGTATTGTCATTGGATCTAATATTTCCACCAAACAAAGGGCCTTTAACGAATGTTAGAACACTACCTCTCGGTGGATATGCATTAATAAATCGTGCAAATTATGGATTTAATATTAATTACACCTTTGCCTTTATGAAGAAGATGACAAGTTATTCAATTATGCATTTCCACTGGATCCATTAACTTCAAATTTTGATGGCGCGTTTGATATATTACAAAGTAACACACTTCTAGTGGCACTAAATGAAACGACCACTTCTTGGCAAATTCTTTCAATCGTTCTGCCACCACTTTCCCAGTATAATAGTAAATATTTTTAAAATTTAATAGTATGAAATGAGTTTTTTTAAATTTAAATAATGTTTTTGACTCTTATAGATAGTGGTTATGGTAATCTACATGTGAACGCAACGTACCCTTCAATAAACGCCAAGGATCTACCTTTGAATACCAATAAGATCAATATCATGTTTAATGATCGCGTTTCGCTCTCGGATGCCAATTTAACAATTTATCAAACAATTAACCAAATCTCCATTCTTCGACAAGTTATTAATTCAAGAACTTGTACTAAATGTACTGCTTCAGGAGTAGTCATCATACTTAATGTGCTTAGTTGCACATTTAATTATCCAGGTGGCCAATATTATATACAGATGGACAATAATTTTGTAAAGGATGCCAGCTACAGCGAGCCCCTACTGGGAATTGATCCAAATATATGGAATTTCCAAACGGGTATATATTTTATAGTTCTTTGCTATTTAAAGTTATTTATTAATAATATATTTTTTCAATCAATGCGAATAGAGAATAGGAGTAAAAAGCATACTGATAGTGTAATTTAAAATTGTCTATAACTTATTTATATATTTCATATATCGATATGCTTAATATTAACTCAAGACTTATTAATAAGTTAGGAGATATTCGATGAATACTACGATTGACAATTCCTGAATCAAGAATTGAATGACTTAGGCAAATCCAACTTTTTCGACACATTAATAGGTGAGCTCACACTTAGAATTCCTGCAGAGGAAGGCAGATTAGGATCAAATAAGTATTATCAACTTAGTGCAACCGGCATTCTTATCTCATTATATATTCGTGAGACAAAAGATGATAAAAAATTAACTGCCGCAGATATAAAGGATAATTTACACCAATTAATAATAAATAAAACAGTTACGGGTATATCAACTGGAACTGTTACAAATTTCTTAGACGAAACTTACGGATTTCAACAAGCTGGTAAAAATTACTCTGTGTTTTTTCTTTCATGAAGTATTGATTCTAATATATTTGCAATTTTCATATTGTAGAGGATATTGGGAAAAAATATAGTGCATTAATAATCATTGTGATTATGACTTTTATAATACTCCGTTTATTATCTTCTATACTCAGTATTAAGGTGAATTTATTCATTGTATCAGTTTTTTTTTTTTTTAGAATATTAATAAAACTTTTATTTAAAAAGCTAAAATCTAAAAAATTTGAGGCAATAAGCTCTGCAGCATTAAAGATTGGATTAATCGTCCCTAATTTTATTCTTTTAATTCTTTTTGTTACTCGCAACTCCAATGATATACCAGAGCTTCACCTGCACATACCAAGGTATTTTACCAAATAAATTTATTTTTGACGATGTCAAATTAATATTAAGTTATAATCATTTTTATCTTAATTCTTTCAAAAAACAAATCCATGATTTGAAGTGTACTCATTTTGAGCGTCCCATTATTCATAAACTTTTGTATAACAACCTATGCTATTTACAAAGGAACTAAAGATCCCGCTATTGGAGAAAATTTTAAAGAATGGATCATTGAATATAAAGGTCTAGTGATTATGTTTACTATTTTGGTAGCAACTGATTATGAATATTTGATGATTTTGGAAGATGTGCCTATTTTTACTAAGAAATTATACCGATACGAACGAATCAATACATTTAATATGTTTAATATAACAAAGCACATATTTGGGGATGCAATTATATGGGGTGCAGTCTTCGATATTTTTTTTAGAAACATTCCACAGATTATTATTTTAGCAGTGAGTAAATTATCGTTATGAAACTACTCTGTCACGAGTAATGAAATCTGAATCAAGAACGAATTCATTTTTTGTCAAAATATCACACTTAACATTATATAATAATAAATAGATATTCTATTCCAATGCCGTTTTCGTAGATGATATAGTACCTCTCCTTTTATTGATTACATCTTGCCTGAAAATTTTTATGATTATCTTTAATTACGTGTGCAAAAAATAATCATGATTAATAGCCGGTGAGTATAATTTTATTTGGTTTTATTTTTTTAAAGTAATACTTATTCTGATCAAATGAATTCATTAGGAGGTTTGTGTTAAATTCTATTAAAAAATATAGACAATAATTTTATAACATCTTATTATCAATATACGTTAAAGAGAGTAAGTATTGAGATTCATTTGTAAAATTAGAGCTTAAGTAACACCATTAAATATATTTCTTCTCAATTCATGAAAATTATTAGCTTGTGAGTATAACTTTTCATTTATGGAAGAAACATTGAATAGACATTTATCATTTAACATTACTTTTAATTGTGATTAATTCATAAAGTCTCCATTCAATAATTTTTCATCATTAATTCACAACATTCATTGATTGGTTGTTTGAAAAGGTAATATATTACTTACGTGTTTTATCATCGTTAAAAGTCAAATATGGTCGAAGAATTAATAAATTATGTTTCGTCTAAAGATATAATTTTTACGGAAAATGCGCAAAATGTAAACAATACTACATTTCTCCAACATGGTGTCAATTTTGTGATCCTCAAGAAGCAATTAAAGGGTGGACTAGTGGAAACAATAATATTGATAAATACATAAAAGGATTTCAAAAAAAAGTAACGGAATATGAGAAGATGATTGAATGGATTCCGTTTAATAGACTAATTAATTTACAAAAAGTAAGAGAAAATGAATCAGAAATGATATTTATGGCGACCTGGTTAGATGGTATAAGAATAATTAAGGGTGAACCTGTAGAATATACACAGTCTCGCATTGGATCATGTGGAGTTAACCTTAAAATACTGCATGGTTCTCAAGCAAGTGACTTTTTTATAGAAGAGGTAAACTAAATTATTGTTTACATAGGCATTCACGTATTAAGTATCAGTATTAACAATCCATTAACACATAATCTTAAGCTTGCAAATTATATGGAGTTAGAAGGGAATATTGTATATGGAGTTACTATAGATATGGCAACAAATCAATACATAATAGTGGTACCAGATGAGTTTAGTTCTAGAAGAAACGCTTCAAATGGGAAATGTGAATACTGTAAGCATAGCAACACTTCTCCTGCTTGGTGCCAATCCTGTAATCCTTGGGAAACAGCTCAAGAATGGACAAGTGGAAACGAAGAGATTGATAATTTAATCAAAGAATTTCAGATCAAAGCTACGGAATATGAGAGGATGGTTGAATGGATTCCATATGACAGACTAATAAATTTACAAGAAATTAAAGAATCAGACCAAGAAACTAACGAAGAATCAGATCTCGAAATTAAAGAAGAACCTAATTTAATATTCACAGCAACTTGGTTGAATGATATACGAACAATTAAAGGTGAATCCGGGAAATATACACAATCACGCACTATATCTTGCGTTGACCTCATAAAATTGCACTGTTCTCAAACAAGCATTTCTGATCATATAGAAAAAGTAAGTTAAACTCATTTTTGTTAACTAGCTCATTGCCTTAATAATGTGATCCAACTTAATTAGTGAATAAATATTTCTTGATAGTTTAAATACCATATGCAATTAGAGAAATATAGGACACATGATTGTATTTGATTTTTACTACAGCAAAAGGAAGCCCATAAATGGAACATGTGAATATTGTAAACGACATAACACTTCTCCGGCATGGTGTCAATTGTGTGATCCTCCGAAAATAGCCCAAAAAATAGGAAGCGGCAATAAGAACATTGATGATTGCATCAAGGATTTTCAACTTAAAGCTACGGCATACGAAAAAGTGATTGAATGGATTCCATTTGACAGGTTAATAGATATAAAAACTATTGGCAAGGGAGGATTTGGTACAGTTTATTCGTCAATTTGGTTAGATGGTAAACGAATGATAGAAGGTGATAACAACGTGGGTTATGTACGATTTCGTAACAAATCTTGTATGGTCGCTCTTAAAACATTATCTGGCTCTCAAACGAGCTCCTCCAATTACTTAACTGAGGTAAGTTAAATTAATTTAATTATAAACCTATTGCATATTGATATCAGTATAACTATATAATTTTTTTTCTAAATACTTTTCAAGTTCAAAAATCACATGAAATGTAGATTAGAGGGTAGTGAACTTGGAATATACGGGTTAACTCAATACAGAGACTGGCCAATATATGATGGTATATCAATATGCTAATAGAGGAAATCTTTTTGACTTTTTAACCCAATATTTTAGAGAACTTACATGGCAAAAAAAATTAAAACAACTTGTGGATATATCTTATAATTTGTCTAGAATTCATGAAGTCGGGCTTATTCACAGTGACTTTCATAGTGGTAATATTTTATTAAATCAAAATATCGATGGAAATATAATTTCATACATTACGGATCTAGGATTATCTAAAAAACTACATGAGCATCATTCAAAAGCAGTTTATGGTGTCATGCCATATGTTGCACCAGAAATTCTTAATGGTCATCAGCATACACAAGAGGCAGATATTTATGGTCTAGGCATTATCATGGCAGAAATGTCAACTGGAGAAAGGCCTTATGGAACGCGGAAACTTAATGTTGATCTTGCATTAGCTATTTGCAACGGATTACGACCAGAATTCGCCCCCGGAACACCTGAATGTTATATTGAATTAGCCAAACAATGCGTGGACTCTGATCCACAAAAGCGACCTACTGCAAAATATATTCATTCGAAAATTGTTCAATGGAAAAAAATCATAGAGTCAGAAAATTTAACAGATGAAGAACTTGATCTAAAAAATAAGTTTTTCAATGCTGACAGCATAATTAAAAAAGCCTCATTGAAATCCTTATCAAAGTTTCAAAACAAGTATTGTAGCACATTAATTGATGTGCAAGAAATAATAAAAAGCCTTAAAGGTATTAACAGAGTTGAAAATATTTACTTTTATTTATATTTTATGATTAAGTAATAATTTATTTTATTAGTGCCTACGAATTTTAATTTCTCTACCGCAGAGCAGTTTGCAAGTTCGACCCTTGAACTTCCAAATGATATTAATGGTTTATTGCAGTAGTACGTAGTTTAGTATAACTTATAAAACCTGCTTGCTTTTTAATTTTTTTCTTTATACTAACGCTAATACAATTTTTAAAAATTTAAAAAATAATAGTGAATAAAAGAATTAACACTCATATTATCGTTAAAAGCTTCAATTGAGCCAAAAATATAAAAAATAATTGATAGCAAAAAAACAAAAAAATAAACAACTTATATGGCTTTTATGTCATATAAGAATAGTTTGTCAGTAATTAGTTTAATCAAAAAACATATATACAGTATTGATACAAACGTTTCAAATTTTTAGCTCATATTAAATTACTAGTAAAAAACATCTTTGCAAAAATTTTATATCTTCTTTTATAATGAAGTTTTTTTAGGACTGTAAATTGATTTTTATTTTTAAATGCATCTTTATTAAATATTTTGCAATCAATTAATATTATCATAAAGATAATTGAACCAAATTAATGACGAAATAATTACAATTAAATTGCAATTCAATTTTCTTTCACTACAGGTGTTGCCGGTCATAGGCAGACATTCGTATGATTGGATGTTTAAATTAATTTAAATTTACATTATTTATACAGTTTAAAGTACATTTTAAAAAAAAGAAAACTACGAAGAATAAACAAAAAAGAAGTATAGAGTTTTATTAGGGTTGTAGGACTCCACTATTAATAATAATCAAAATTCTTTTTTGTTTTGGAGAAATTAGCATAATAGCGACTTCTTAAAGATAGATAAAATTAGGTTATCACCATGCTAACTTCTCTAAAAAAAAAAAAAGAATTTTGATTATTTTTAATAGTGAAGTCCTACAACCCTAATAAAACTTTCTATATCCTTCTTTTTTGTTTATTATTATTTTTAAAATGTACTTTAAACTGCATAAATAATGTAAATTTAAATTGATTTAAACAGCCAATCATACGAAAGTCTGCCTATGATGCTGCCGGTGTGACATGATTTTTTAAACAGTGAAAAACTAAAAATCATGTATTTAAAATCTTGGCAAATATATAATATATAAGCTAATTAAGTAAAAATTGCAATTAATTGCCTCATTTTGGCTGCGTCACCAATCAATTGAGTTCAAAAAATTGCAATTAATTGCTACCACAATCAAATATTTGACAGGCACTATTTTAAGTAAATATTTTATTGTACTAAAACATTTTAAATTTTTTTATAGAAAATATCGCTATATTAATAATTATGTCAGAGTACTATATATTTGCTCCCGTAAACTAAGGCAACATTATAATTGATGGTATATAGATAAATCAGTACGGTTATGGAATGTGCTGTATTGCTGTAGTGCCAAATAACATAATGCTATGTGCTAAAATACTGTTGTAATGACGTAGGATAACTTTCCGCTAGCGTTATAAAACTTAAAGTAATCTTAAGAAATAATAGCACACAGTGAAAAGAAGCGATGTTTCATTATTCACATTCTTTTATTATTGGAAAATTTTTATTTTTTGAAAAGGACATTTAAACTTCAAAATGACTCAGGCTTGGATTAATTTACCAGCCAACTAGATGAAGGTCTTTCTATTGTTATGTATGTGAGTTTTGTAATATCATATGCAAGTTACATATTATGGCTGTGCTATAAGTCAGGTGGGAGAAAAGATTAAACACGCATTGCCCAAATGAAAAGAAAAAACAATGGGTTACAGAGTTAACTTATTTTGAAAATAAGTGGGAGTTTGAAAAGTCCTATTTTTGTTTTGAAATTTCGAAATCAGAAAATGAAAAAGGTGCTTTCCAGCGATAGAATAAACTTTTTTTGATGATATATATTATATCTTATTATATAAATAGGCTTGCAAATAAAAATAAATAGGATTTATAGATCGCTGATTAAAAATTAATACGTCACTAATTTAATTCGAAATTAAAAACCTGAACTTTAGATATGAAACCCCCTAATATCTAGTTTTTATTTGGTGGCAAATAAATTTTGATCCAATAATATGAGTACCGCCAAGGAAATGTGTCATCGGGCTTTCAATAATTCGTATTTGTGCCGGATAAAATTTCTAACAAATCAGGTAGATTGAGTTTCGGGATCTTCTGTCGGAATTATGCATGTCGAGATTATAGTCTGTCAGGATTTTGGGTGTCGGGAATTTGAGACAGAACCTAAACTCATTAAGTAATTGATTTTGTCACTTTTAGTCACATTGTAGCACTTTAAATGTTACAATTTACAACCCAAAATTAGTCATGTTTACATACATTACTTAGAGATCATAGCCAACCATGGCATTCAACGAAATCAAAATTGTCATCAAACATTTTGTAAACCAAACTCTCTGTCTTCGCTTATGGAAAACTCGACTCCGATTCTGTAAAAAGGGGTTTCTACGGGAATCGGCTGTAACGATCCGTCCGGTATTGAAATTTCCTTTTCTAGTATTCCTTGAACGAAGGTTTCCCAAGCCAATTGGTGATCATGCATAAGACGAACAAGTCAGATCATACGTACGTACGTATGTACGTGTAATAAATATTTACCAGATTTGGAATATTTTAACACCGAATGTGACGTTTCATTAATTTTGTCTTACCAAGCATAGGTTTAATATCTGTGAATAGAACTTGCTTAATTCACCTTTCATATACGCATAAAACAGTTACGCGGTTAATAATCCACATGATTCGTTAGATAATTTTAGCGAGAATCTTTCCTTTTTTTTTGAATTTGAGTTTAACATGCAAACTAATCATGTAATACAATTTCTTTCGATAATGATACAACTATGTAAAAAAGATGTGGCTTAAAGGCCTAGAGCAATAAAGAATCTGCAAGCGCTATAGGAACTAATTTTGCAGCAATTTATATTATACATTGTAACTTAATTACTATATTCGATAAAGAAAAGGATTATAAATAAAGCTCAAATGGGTTTCTAAATTGCTTCAATTCTGCGGATTTGTGGAATTTAATCCAATCGTTTATTTGTGGTTAATTACATATTTGTTTATTAATATTTTGATATAGTGGCGTGTTTTCTTGTCCAAGTTTATTAATAAATAGATATAGATAAGTATTTACGGCTATTTTCAAAATCGTGTAACCATGTACAAGCCATTATATCATTGGAAATCCTTGATTTTCTCGATTTCTCTTTGACTTCCCTTATTCGCGGAATCAAGGAAAATTAGGGAAATCATGTAGATATAGTGGCTTGCACTTGGTTACACCTTTTTGAAAAAAATTATAAATAAAGGCCAATTGTAAAAAAGGCTTTAAAATTAAAATTTTGATATATCATTTTTTTTATAAAATAAGAATAATATAATAGTAAATGGTCTTGAAAAAAATGCAAAATTGGAGAGAGTCATTTGCACATTTTATTTATCGCATGAAAAGTCGTCTTGAAACTAGGATGATTTTTAATAACAACTATATTGAATTTAACAACCTCACATGCCATAAGTTTATAGCTGAAGGAGGTTTTGGAACAATCTACCAGTGTTCCTGGAAAAACCGTTCATTAGATGTTATACTCAAACGCTTTAAAAGAGAAGGGAATTTTGATAAAAAAATTTTATTAGAGAGGTATTATACGTATATAACATTTCTCTTTATTAATCATTCACCAAATAGTCGTTTATTAGAAATGATACTCAAGGAATCCAGTGAGTGTTACATTACTCATTTAACAAATTACTATCCGTTGGTAAATGACTATTTAGTGAAATGGTTATCAAATGGCATTATAGTTGGCAAATTATTTAATTTATATATTAATTTAATTCATATAAAGGTAAAATCTTTACGAAAAGTTAATCATCCAAATATTATTAAACTTTACGGCATTACCAAAGGTATATTTAATCAATAATACAAAATTTATTTTAAATATTAATCATTAACGTACGTATTATAATTGTTACGTAGATAACGATGGACATTACAATATAATTATAGAATATGCTGATAATGGAAATTTGAAAGAGTATCTTAAAACTAATTTTACAACTATGCAATGGGAAGATAAGTTACGAATTGCTAAAGAGATAGCATCTGGTCTTTTATATTTACATAACAATAGTATAATTCATAGAGACCTTGTAAATATCATTTTGATTTAATTAATTAATTTTTATTCGAGAACTCCTACAGCAAAAGGAGGCTGTGGGCAAAAAAATAAAAATTTTTTCAACTTAATTTCTTAAAGAATTAAAGTATTAGAAATACAATTTTTATAAAACTACAAAAACAAAATTTTTTGCCCACTGCCTCCTTTTGCTGTGGGGATTCCCATTTATTAATTTTATTTATTAATTTACTAACACTAATAATTTAGCATTCAAAGAATATCTTAATTCATCATGGACACCCAAAGATTGCAGATTTTGGATTATCAAAGCAGATAAATGAAATATCTATGACTTCAAACTCAATTGATTATGGAGTGCCGAAATATAAAGACACTTCAAACTCAAATGATTATGGAATGCCGGAATATACAGACCCTCAATATCTTATTAACTCAGGATATAAATGTGATGAAAAATCAGATGTGTATAGCTTTGGAGTAATCCTCTGGGAAATTTCAAGTGGGAAACCACCATTTTTTCAATTTAAAGACAGATATTTGTGTGCGATTCAAATTTCTCAGAAACATAGGGAAATACCTGTAAAAGACACACCAACGCAGTATGTCGTGCTTTATACACAATGTTGGTGTCATAATCCCATAATTCGTCCTGAAACTAAACTTGTTTTTAACAATTTAGAATCAATTTATACAGAATATACTAAAAACAATTAGTATTTACTAGGGCTATTCTAGAGGTTGGAACCGGTTTTAATAATTCGGGTTTATCACGTAAATTTTGTGATATTTTAGAATTTATCTGTTATTAAAATTTAATTGGATTAATTCTAAAATATCCCAAAATTCATGTGATAAACCCGAATTATTAAAACCGGTTTCAACCTCTAGGCTATCTAGGTAATAGTAACCCACAATAAAACGAGTAACCGGTTAAAATATAGGTTATTCAGGTGACCTATCCGACTTACAGCTGTTTTCATTAATTTTGGGACATTTTGCATGTTGACAAAAAATCAACTGATCGAAAAGATAGGGGAGAGTGGTCAGGGTTACACGCCACGTGCTACAACCCTGCCCCGATAATGCAAGTCGGGGACCGAGATTTCATGCGAACACAACTACGTAGCGGAGAAGAGACATCAGACTATATCGATTTTTCATACGAGCACAGAAAGAGACATCAGACCATATCGATTTTCATACGAACACAGCTACGTAACAGAAAGCCACCGTCCTCAATCAATATAAAAGAAGCGACGAATAAATCAATTCCCAACATTCTTCTTTTTCCCCTTGCAACACAATCAAGCATTATAGCCGTCATTTTCTCGACCCAACCCTTCCAACCACACACAGGGGAACACTCTCCTGATTCTACCATTTTCATATTTAACAGCCGGCCTGCTTCGAGCAGGCGGGAAACCACCGGCTGATGCTGCTTCTCACACATTCTACTGTTGCGATGATACCTGGGCGCAATCTCACTTGCTAATTTTCCCGGGAGCATACCATCGTATCAGTTCAAATTACCCAGCTCAAATTACTCAGTTTAATTGAATTTATTTCCGGCACCTTTGGCGTGTCCAATCACATGACCAATCGTACCTATGCTTTTCGTGTAAAAAATTGACGAATGATTGGTTTGTCGATTCGATAAGCTTTTTTTTCGGCAATGAACGACTACGTAATAAGTGCATATCTTGTTAATGACAATGATAATGTGTACGTATCGATATCGCTATTTTATTTTGCGTTTAAGATAAGTTGGATATTATATTAAATTCAGTTGCTATTATTTCAGACGAGTTGGATATTTCAGATCAACAGTAGTTATTTCAAACAAGCTAGGTATTTTTAAAATGGTTACTATTTCATAGACTGTATTTGAGACAAATTTGCCCTGAATTTTAAAAAATATTTAGAATTTTAAAATTATTAATAATATGAGACATTTTATATATAAAATATTTATTTAAACATATTTTAAATTTTATTAAAAAACATTTTTTAAACATATTTTAAATTTTATTAAAAACATTTTTTAATATTGTTAAAAAATTTTTACTATAAAATTTTCTTAAAATTCTTTAAAATTTTATATAATTCCAGCTATAAAAAAAGTTTGTTTCTTCTAATACGAGTTTAAATTTTTACATATAAATTATAAAATTTTATTAATAAAAATTGTAATGCAGTCAAACCTCCATATATGCAGCCCCTTGGGACCGACCATAAGTGTGCATTTGTAGAGGGCGTGCATTTATAGAAAGTAATTTCATAAGTGTCATTATTAGTTGGAACTGAGACATAGAGTGCATTTATAGAGGGTGTGCATTTATAGAGCGCGCATATATAGAGAGTTGACTGTATGTATAAATTTTAAAATCAATTGAAAAACTAGATTTAAAACTATAATTTATGATATTTGATATTTGTCTAATATTGATTAAAATTTTTTTTAATTAAAAATCTTTTTAAATTTACCTATTTTAGTTTATAGACAACTTAAATGTTCTTATAATATAAAAATAAATACTACTATAATGTAATTCTTATTTTTAAATATTATTAAAAAATTTTTATCCAAATATGAAATAAATTTATAGTATCATTAGATAATTTGTTCACGATCAACCTTTTCAATATTTCATCTGATTCATACCGATTTGCTTTTGGTCTATATTTTATTATATAATTTGTATTACAGTATTACATAAATGATAAATCCTTTTATAGATCTTTGCCACGATTTTGTTGATTATAATTTTCAAATATTAATAAAAACTTGGTTGTTTGGAATTATATTTTCCTTAGTCCTGTCAATAAATTCTTTTACATATCGAACTTTTTTTATTAGCACCTCTCGTGTAATATTTATTATGAAACTTATATTTATGTTTTTGTTAAGGTCTGTTTGGCAAGAGCAATCTACATTATAAATTTCATACAAATTAAGCACACCAAACATATTGGACATGCATTCAGGCGAGCCTTAATTTTGGGATGGCAAATGTTTTAGAACACGATCTTAAAAATCATGTTTGATTTAAATCTGTTAAAAATGTTCTAATACATTATGATGTAACTATGATTCAACTGCATAATTTAAATGTATTATGATTACAAAATTCAAAAAAAAAAAAAAAAAATTTGAATAAGAAAATTTTTCAAAACAATATCTCATGTTCGTGGAAGATTCTCGTCAAAAGAAGTCCGATTAAACCTTACAAAGTTGCTGAACCTGATAAACATGATCGAACAACGCCTCACCAAAAATATAATTATTGCGAAGAAGACTGTGTTGATTTGGTTGACCAATTAAAGGTCATTCATTAAAATGTAAAAGAAATATATAAAAACTCAAAAAACAGGATTCTGGTTCTTCAAATAATTCATTCGAAAAAAACTTATTAAATAGTGGCAATATTGTAAACCTTGTACTTCAATACCAACAAATGTAAACTAATATAAAATGAAAGATTGTATCGGCCGACAAGCAAATTTCACATTTAAAAAATAATAGCGATCGATAGCTTTGATAAAAATTAAAGCGAACAAATATATTAATTTTTAGTATGTTTTTTACGTAATATTTGATAAATTCGAATTATATACAGTAGCAACGTCTTTTTTAAAAAAAATCTCTCAGCTTAAAATTAAAATTAATTAATCAAAAGCAATATTTTCAGTTTCAGCAAAATTTATCTCAGACTTCGATGTTTTAAAAAAGTTTAAACCAATAAAAAAAAACGTTTAAAAACTGTTTAACCCGTTTTTTACCATCCCTATGGATATGTAGACATTATAGTGTCGTTGGGTTAGTCGTGCCGCGGTCTCGTGATCACCGACCTCTTCCGACAATTACATTTAAAAAATACTAAAGGTTAGATATTATGTAACTTTAAAAAGTTTTAACGTTAAGTAACGCGTAATCTGAATTTTCGGGTCGGAAGAAGTCGTGATCACGAGACCGTGACATCGACTAACCTAACGTCCTAATCCTAAACTTCTATTTTTACGCACTTAGTTTATTCACAAAATTTGATTTCCTTTTTGGTTTGTGTTACCCGCGCAAATAAGTAAATCGCTCAAGCACAAGCACACAATGTGGCGGCTCACGAGGATACACTAAAATATTAATCAGCAAATTGAGAATTTATAATTCCCTTTTTTTTTTTTTTTACGATTTAATGCTGTATATAATATATTATAATAAATAAAAAAAAAAATTTTGCCGCGAAATTTTTGTCACTATTAATGCTATTAATTCTGTATTACATATTTGACGACAATCGATGACGTCTTACTAGATCCTAATATTTATACTTTTTACATTCTTTTGTTCACCTTTTATGTTCTTTATATTTAGTAAACAAAGCATTTGTATTTTTTTGTATTGCATGGATTTGTCATCTATATACGAAACGATTTAGTAGAAAAGAACACTATTCTACATTTATTATTATTAGTAAAAATAAACATACACAATAAGACCAAAGTCAGAAATTATGTACCCATTAAAACCAAGGTATTGATCACAGATGTCATTTTTAGATCTTTTGAAAAATTATTGGTATTGTCGCCACCTTTTGAATTAGAGGTTTCGCTTACTAATTGTAGAAATGTTAATCATAAATAAACATGTGGCAAATTTACAAATAATAATTCGAATATGTTAATAAATTGACAATCCTAAGAGTATCGCATTCTCGGAGGTTCTCGAAGGTTCCCGGAGATACATATGTACGTAAATGTATTGTCTCAAAATAACGCCCATGCGCGTCCCTAAATAACGCGCACCTCACTTACAACCCTGTTTTTTTTTAAACCTTAAATAAAATGATATTTTATTATATATATATATATATATATAAATAATGAATCGAATTTGTGATTACAAATAGTCAAATAGGAAATGAAATGGCGTGTTTAGAGACTCTTATTTCATAAATAAAATATTAAATTAAATATTTATACATAATAGTCATTAACGTAAATTAAATTATAAATATATTTGATCTAAAATTAGACAGTTTATTCAAAAACAAACAGATTCATTATTTAAAAAAATTAGAAAGTCAATATTAAATTAAAAACAATGTACCATATATTGCATTTATTAGATTGACTAAATATATGATATTTATGTTTCCTATAAGTTTAATACCTCACACGATTATATCTTGATTAGGTTAACAAAATTTGTCCTTTGTCTCCAAATAACGCCCATGCGCGTACTCTAAATAACGCGCAATAACGCGCAGATGGGCGTTCGTGACAATACGGTAAATAATTTTTACCTAATTAATAAAACTTTATTTGTGTTATCATTATTTTATTAACGTGAACATGAAAAAAAAGTAAGTTCACAAAAATCGCCATATTGCCTATTAAATTTCCAACACTGATCCTAATGCCAAGAAATAACACAAAAAAATTTTAATTGTAAAAAAAATACGGATAAGGAAATTAATGACCAAAAATTTCATGGATTCGGGCATTTTTTTTCCTAAAGTATGTATGTACTATGTTTGTCGGAAAATACAGTAGAAATCTAAACTTGGATGTAACATTTGGCGTAATCATTGTACAACCTTGTGATTTTATATTGTTGTAAAATATAAACTGGGTTTGATAAAAATTGGGGCGTTTGCATTTTCTAGAAATTTATGTTGTTTCGGACATTATTTCACAAATAATTTTATTGGTATGGCGTGCACTTCCCTTTTTTTAGTAAACATCGTAATGTGGCGTCTCACGGGAATTTCTTACGGGCATATATTGGATACAAAATTGAACTAATGCAATCAAAGAAACGCTTTACAGTATTATAAATAAGCAAAATGAGAGAACGGTGAAAAAATATCGATTTTTCAAAATGAGCCAGACTACTCCAGATGAAAATGAAAATGTAAATGTAAATGGAAGTGGAAGTGGGAATGCAAAAAAGAAGCTGGACTTCATACAATCTATTAAAAGAATAATATTATGCACCATATTCAATCTTATGTTGATGTTTGTTCCTATAGGATATATAGTACACTTTGTTACTCGAAATATCACTGCAATCTTTTTTATGCCCTTTCTAGCTATCATACCATTGGTTAGATTGCTCGGGTTTACAAATGAAGAGCTTGCAGAAAGTGTCGGTGAGGTAGTGTTTATTGAAAAACGTGATAAATTACCATTTCATATTCTAATATTAATATTTTATTTAATAAAGACTATCGGAGATTTTTGAATGCAACGTTCGGAAATGCTGTAGAATTAATAATAGCTATAGTAGCGTTGGCGAATGGTCAAATTCGTGTTGTTCAAGCGTCGATGTTGGGTTCTGTACTCTCTAATATCCTATTAGTATTAGGATCGTGTTTTCTCGTTGGTGAGCTCGCTATTCTTAAGGAAGACAAACTTGAACAAAAATTTAGTTCGAATGCTGCACAAGCAAGTTCTAGTTTTCGTATGGAAAATCATCTTGAAAATAGGATGGTTTTTAATAACAACTATGTTGAATTTAGCAGCCTCATATACCATAAGTCTATAGCTGAAGGAGGTTTTGGAAAAATCTACCTTTATTCCTGGAAAGACCGTTTATCATATGTTATACTTAAACACTATAAAAGAGAAGAGAGTTTTGATAAAACAATTAGCAAAGATTATATTAGAGAGGTATTATAAGTAAATAACATTGCTCTTTACTAATTATTCGCAAATAGTCATTTATTAGAAAAATTGGCTCGAGAACTAAATTTAAAGATAAATTAGAAAATGAAACCTAAATCCAAATTAAGTAGTTGCATTATCTATTTAGCAAATTATTATCCGTTGGTAAATAACTATTTAGTGAAATGGTTATCAAATGGCTTTATACGTACAGTAGTTGGAAATTGTCTAATTTATATATTAATTTTATTCATATAAAAGATAAAATCTTTACGAAAAGCTAATCATCCAAATATTATTAAATTTTACGGCATTACCAAAGGTATATATTTTCATCAATAATATAAAATATATTTTAAATATTAATGATTGACATATTATAATTATTAGATAATAATGGACATTACAATATAATTTTACAATATGCTGATAGTGGGAATTTAAAAGAGTATCTTAAAACTAATTTTACAAAGATGCAATGGGTAGATAAGCTACGAATTGCTAAGGAGATAGCATCTGGGCTTTTATTTTTACATAACAATAATATAATTTATAGAGATCTTGTAAATATCATGTTGATTTAATTTAATTAATTTTTATTTATTAATTTTATTTATTAATTTACTAACACTAATTATTTAGCATTCAAAGAATATCTTAATTCATCGTGGACACCCAATGATTGCAGATTTTGGATTATCAAAGCTGATAAATGAAATATCTCTGACTTCAAATTCAATTGATTATGGAATGCCAGAATATATAGACCCTCGATATTTTATTAATTCAAGATATAAATGTGATAAAAAATCAGATGTGTATAGCTTTGGAGTAATCCTCTGGGAAATTTCAAGTGGAAAACCACCATTTCAATTTGAAAACAGATATTCGTGTGCGATTCAAATTTCTCAGAAACAAAGGGAAATACCTGTAAAAGACACACCAACGCAATATGTTGTGCTTTATACACAATGTTGGTGTCATAATCCCATAATTCGTCCTGAGACCAAAATTGTTTTTAACAATTTAGAATTAATTTATACAGAATATACTAAAAACAATTAGTATTTATTAGGGCTATCTGGATAACCCACAATAAAACGAGTAACCGGTTAAAATATCGGTTATTCAGATGGGGGACATATTGACCGAATGATTGTTTGGACGATTTGATAGATTTTTTTTCGGCAATGAGTGATTACGTAATAAGTGCATATCTTGTTAATGACAATGATAATGTGTACGTATCGATATTGCTATTTTATTTTGCGTTTAGGTAAGTTGGATATTATATTAAATTCAATTGCTATTACTTCAAACAAGTTGGATATTTCAGATCAACAGTGGCTACTTCAAACAAGCTAGGTATTTTTAATATGTTTACTATTCCTTAGACTATATTTGAGACAATGCCCTAAATTTTAAAATTATTAGTATATTTTATATATAAGATATTTTATTTAAATATTTTGAATTTTTTATTTTAAAATTGTTAAAAAAATTTTTACTATAAAACTTTCTTAAATTTTTTAATTACATATAATTATAAAAATTTATTAATAAAAATTGTATAAATTTTAAAATCAATTAAAAAACTAGATTTAAAACTATAATTTATGAAATTTGTCTAATATTAATTAAAAAATTTTTTTAATTAAAAAACCTTTTAAATTTATCTATTTTTAGTTTATAGACAACTTAAATTATAATATTAAATTAAATACTGCTATAATATTCTTATTTTTGAGCTGTAGTGGGAGTTGCGACATATTTTAAATTTTATATTTAAAGGCATAAATTATTGCAAATAAACAACATATCATAATGTCATGATGTCACAATATACTAAATGTTGTGATGTCACAATATATCATAATGTCATGATATTGCAATACATTATAATATATACAATATTGATATAATATAATGTAATATTATAATATGATATAAATAAATTTTAAATTACTGTATTAATTTAAATCGAAAAACCATTATGTTATATATTTGTTCATATTAATATATAATTTATGAGACTTTGTGATCATATGAGTTGTAATTTTTGCATCTTACATATTTGCGTCTAACTTTTGACTCTGAAGTCTTATACCTTTTTGTAGGAAAAAGGTGTTCACAAAGGTCGCAAATAAGTTTGAAAAGATGCAAAGGCTGCGACTTTGCAGCAGGCATCTCTACATTAGAGGCAAATTTGATCATAATTTGTTCACAGTCAATATTTCATCTATTTCATACCAATTTGCTTTTTGGTCTATATTTTATCAATATAATTTGTATTACATAAATAATAAAATACTTTTATAGATATTATCACGATTTTGTTGATTATCCCTTAAACCATCTAGCAGGCAAATTTGCCTGCTAAAATTATTTTTAAAAAGTTTTTTTGAGTTTTCTTAAAATTTATTTAAGCTTGACCCCCCTATTTATTGAATAGAATTAAAGATATTCCTTTTATATATAATATACTTAAATTTTATCATTCTATCTTTAA